GTACCACGTTGACTGCACAAACTGCTTTCAACAGGAAGCATGACTAGTGAGAACATAACAAGCGAAGAAACCAGTGCTCCACGAGATCAAAAGTTTAGGCTCTATAAGGGCGAGGCGGAAGGCTCCCTGTGATCAGTGAGAGATACATGTACAAGGACTTGGTCTGTCATGTTCTTTCTTGCTTTTAGTACATTAAGACTGAAAATAAATCACACATAATGGGAAAAACAACAGAAACAGAACCAGGTAACCAAGGGAACACATAATGTTCCCTGATACTAAGTCTGGGTCACTGTAATGTTAAGAGTTACCTAACATTTGTTCACAGGCGAAAACAGTACAGGTCTTAAATGAGAAAAATGCAGTTATATTCATTCTGCATTCTATTATTATGTATATTTATTCTTGATTGTCAGAAAACAGTGAACATCTTGAAATGCATTTCGTCGAAACCGCATTCTGTTTTTTGTTTTTTATGATTGTTGCATTTCTGTTCTAACAGTACCCAAGTGGGACAAACCAAACACTGACTCGTAGATAGGGCCTGTATTTCGTGTTTTTCACAGCCACCGTAGTTTCTCCAACAAACTCCCAGCTTGTCAAATACAGATGCCAGTGGCGTTCAGTTAGTTGCAATCTGCAACGTCAACACTAGATGCCACTCAATCCTTCACACTGGTCCTTTATTCCCGATTGGGTAAACCATAGGAAAAGGGATAACAGAATTCACACAGATAGTATCTCCTCCATTATTGACCAGCAGCCAGTTTAGCTGACCGCCGCTGGCTGATTTCTCCATTTCTGAGACACACACCCACACACACACTCATACACACAGAGTCTTGGAGTCTGTTCCACATCATTATCAACAGACAACCTCTGACATTTTTATCAAGACAAGAGGTCAGACTGCTTGTCCCTTGCTACTGTTCTTTATCATCTCTGAATGTTCCTTTCTCTGAGTGTATCAATCATGCGATCTGGCTTAAAATGTTCAGCTTTACAAGTTTATCTTCATGTTCATACTGTCGGTGTGGAAACTAAATCCCTGCGCTGCTATCATCTCATTTGCAAGTGTTAACTTTGCTTCAAGATAGGACTCAGTATGTCCCAATTATTAATCTGAAGAGTTACTTAGAAATGAAACATTAACCTTATGACGTGAATGTTTTTTTTTAAAGTTCTTGAAGATTTCCATATCTAAACTTAAGTGATATATTCACTTTGTTAGCATTTGTGTGGCAATGGCTCTCCAGTGTATTCAGATTATATAACAGTTTCATTTGTGCAGGAAGGCACACAGAAATGGCAAATAATCTATCATTCCCCCAAAAACTTTATACACACAGGAAAGTACTGTACATGAGTTTCAATGTTGTGCATTTTAAGTGTGATTTTCTTCAGATTTGTTAAGAGGTCCTAAACTTGTGATACATTATGTATTTTTTGTAGTTTGTAATCCCCAGTTCTTACTTGTTATTTGCAGCTATAATGCCTATCTTGTCTGACACTCTGATGCTGTTCCTTTCTGAAGATCTGATGAAACTTTTCAGTTGTTCTTGGGTGGTATAGAGGAATAGAACTGATACGTCAACTTCAAGGCGGATCAGTTGGAAATACTCAGCTGCATCAGTGCCCAGTACCACAATGTTTCTGTAAATTACAATATTATATTACTGTCTCGCAACCGTTTGGAAACTTTGACTCCACGCTCAATATATGACCAAAAGAGAAGAACTTGTGGTTTATAGATGATGCTTTCCTCTGAGCCAGGCAGGAATTTTGATATTTTTGATGATTTCAATGTGATATCATACATAGATAGTTAAGCTCCCAATATTCTTCTCATCTGAAGTGAAAGCTAGAATGACAGGTTAGAGGGATCTGTTTCTCTGCGGCTGCACAGAGCTTTTATTTTCTGCTGAACATCTGTTTCACACAATCAGCATGATCTGCTGGTGTGAAAAACAACTGTTTGCCTCTAGAAAACATCCCTCGGTGAGTAAAGAGAAGTCAACAAGTCAGTGAGTGTGTTGATGTGGAAGCATCCTGGTTCCAGTTCATAAATTCTGCTTGAGCTGTGGCTTTATGGACTCCAATGTCGGTCTGTCGTTGCTGATCCAGACTAAATCTGCCATGAAATTCTTTTCAGGCATTCATGGTCTCAGGATGATGAATCAATTACTTTGGTGGTCCCCTAACTTTTTCTCTAGCGCCGCCATGAGTTTGACATTGCTGGTTTTGTATGAAATTTGCTAGAGATATTCAAGGTCCCTAGAGGATGAATTCAACTGACTTTGGTGACTTTTCCAAAGAAGCACCATCTTCATTGTGAATTTCACTACTGTGTATTGAGCTGCCTCCTTTAAGTGAACAATCCCATTTTAGAGCCAATTTCATTCTTTCTTTTTTTTTATAATTTAGGCTGATATAAGACAGAATAACATAATGATCCCCTTAACATACTTCATACAGAAACACTTGATAATAACATTAAGACCAAAGCTTGGCGAGATTTTCGTACACTGTGCCTTGTATGTCAAAACCAATTAAACGTGCAAAACACGTGTGATATTTTTTGATGTTTTTACATTATTTAAGGTATTCCACTGGATGGGAGGGAGAAGGAGGATGATGGCAAAAAGCTATCATCACTTGATGGACAGATGTCTCCCCACCCAACCTAAAAACCAAGTCTTAACAAATTTTTGTGCCTAAAACCTAAACCAAACCTTAAAATAACATTGTGTAGGATTTACGCCATTGAAAACATGACATTCCTCATCTAAACAGCCTAGGTTGTTTGGTTTGTCCGTTCTGGGCATGTAGACTACTGCTGACTGTAGCGGAGTCAACATGCGGACTGCATGGAAAACGTTTCTTATGTGGTTTTTTTGGAATTAATTTCCAGTGATAGCAGTTGGACATCTCATCAC